CCCCCTCCCCATGATAGGCCCCGGTGTGTGATGTTCCCCTTCCCGAGTCCAAGTGATCTCATTGTTCAGTTCCCACCTATGAGTTTCTCTTCAGATCGTATGTATGCATTCTTTCAATCCAGTTATTCATCAAGCATAATCTGAATATCTATTATGTAGCAGACACATTCTACCATCTCTCAGGACTCTTCCACCCTTAACAACTTCATGTTTAGCTGCCCACCCTGAGCAAGCTGAGAGATTTAAAATGGAAGCATTAGGACTGAATCCCAATTGGATCTTTTATTCCTTTCTCTTTTTTTTGGAACAAAAGCAATTCTGAAGTTAGAAAATAGTAAAAGATAACCTTTAACTGACCTTTCAAAAACTTACGGCAGTCTCAAATTTACTATTAATCATTGCAAATACCTAATTTACATAACATTCTATAAGTATTGAAAAAAAGGAGCTATACCTATTCATTTGAATACTGAGTTTTCTTTGGATTATTTTTTTTTTGAAAATCGAAGTAAGAATTACTTTGCTTTAAAAATTTGTTGTTTTTATTTTTGCCTTCTTTTTCCACAGTACTTTATTTAGGTGCCAATTATATGAGTAGAACTGCCTGTTCTATGTACTTAATGTAAGGCATCATGGATTGGGTGATGCCACATTATATATCAATAAGATAATGTTTAAAATGTTGCCAGTTATAATTGTAATAAATAATGAATTGTAAACAGTATCCCAATGTCAGGAGATGCTACTATATAAGAGAATAGTGAGAAAAAGAGCATCTGAGAATGATTGAAATACAATGATACATCTAATCTTTAATAGATACCTCAACATAGATATGATTGTATCATTTTACTTAATTAAAATGTCTTTATAAGAAGTAATATCTAAAAATTATTGAGCTGTTATTTGTGTTAGGAAGTGTTCTAAATGCTGTACATAGATTCTCATGTAAGCATCACAGCAGTGTTCTGTGGGATAGCTACTATTCTCTTATATATTTTATTGATAAGGAAATTGAAGCAAAGAAAGGCTAAATAATAGCTAAGTGACAGAGCTGAAAGTAAATTTTAAGCCCCAATTAAACTGAATCCAAAAGTCAAGCTTTTTCTATTAAATAGCCTGCTCTTTCATTAATGTGGTGAGTAATAAGCGCTAACAAAAGTTGTACTTTCTTCACAAGAAAATTAAATATTTGTTTTGAAGACAGAGAAATAACACGCTAATTAATGCTTACAGTTACCTGTTTTAAAAAGTCCTGTCACTCTTGCAGGACTGCCCTACATTTGGCCTGTGCCACTGGCCAACTGGAAGTCATATCTCTCCTGGTGTCCAGAAGATGTGAGCTTAACCTCTACGACCGTGAATGCAGGACACCTCTGATCAAGGTATATAGTAGCTGACTCTTTGAGCATGAGATGGATTTGGTTTAGGTACATAGAATAAAATGAACTTATCTCATTGGATACCACTATATAACTAGTTAGTAAATCATATGGAGTGTTTACTTTGATTTTTCAGTATTTGCATGTTTCTTGGTCTAATACTGACAGGCTGTACAACTGAGGCAGGAGGTTTGTGCAACTATTCTGCTGAAAAATGGTGCTGATCCAAATATTATGGGTTTCTATGGAAGGACTGCTCTACACTATGCTGTGTATAATGAAGATACATCCATGATAGAAACACTTCTTTTACATGGTACAGATATTGAAGAATGCAGCAAGGTATAGATCAACCAACATTATTTTCAAACTATCTGAAATACATTTATTTTAACGTTGACACATGTAAGAGTCAATTTTTCATATTTGGAAGCTCAAACATTCCTTGAATGAAAATACTTTGAAATGCCTTAACTGTCTAAGATTTTACTTTAAATACTGGAACTTTTAAAGAAGCATTATAGGGTACAGCTTTTTTTCATGCACTTATGGTAAATAATAATAAAAACAAATGAATTACAATAAATTTATAATTCATGACAACTGAATTTGGGAAAGGGAATAGTTAAGTGGTTTTCCACTAAATTACTTTTTTTCTAATCAGTGTGAAGTGACACAGGAAAGTAAAATTT